GCTTGCCCTGCCCTACGAGGAGTTTGTCACCACCCCGCGCACGTTCTCCCAGGACCTGGCCCAGCTCGTTGGCGTGCGCAAGGTGCACATGGACAGATGCCTGACGGAGGTTCGCAGCCCGAGCGAGAAGACATACACCCCTGAACAGCAGCAGATGCGGGACCAGCTGCGCACCTTCTTCCAGCAACAGTCCGTGCTGTGGCCTCTCCTCTCCAAGCCATCGCTCCTGCCTCGTGTGAACATTGGTCGCGGCCCAGTCTCACCAGCCAGCGCCCGCGCGCAGGGTGGCGTGCACCAGCAGCACCAGCAGCAGGAAGAAGAAGGTCGTCAACACCAGCAGGAACAACCTGCCAGCGACAAGGACGCCCCACACTCGACTCGCACCCTTGCGCCCGTGAGTTGTGTGTGTGTGTGTGTGTGCGTGTATATTTGTATGTGTGTGCGTGTATATTTGTATGTGTGTGTGTGTGTGTGTGCAAATGTGTATGTGTACGCGTGTATGTGTGCCTCCCCGTTTGTCGAAGAGGCTGCCTTTTTTTCGTTCCGTGTGCGCACACAGTCGCTTGCCACTCACATCCACTCCCCAACCGCCTGAACACGTGCTAACAACTTCAGGTTGCTGAGGACAAGTTTCTCCGCATCAACTACTTCCTCCACCTCGGGTTCAACAACGTGCGCTTCATCATGGAGATTGGCTTCCTTATGGCCAACTCTCTCAACCGCCAGCTCTTACTGCCAGACGCGCTGCGCATGCGCCGCTGCGTCAACCCGGACCTGTGTGCCGCGGCCCCCTGCAAGCCGCCCGGCAAGAGCGCAGGCCACTACTGGTGCCCGCTCGAGCACTTCCTCGACGTGCGCGCCCTGGAGGAGAACGGCGCCCGCCTTGCGCGGGGCGGCATGGATGCGTTTGCAAAGGGCAAGTCCGTCAAGGTGGTCAAGTCTGCGTTTGTGGACGTGTACGACAAGCAGCTGCTGTGGCTGGACCGAATCCCAGCAGAGGTGCAGGCTGCGATGGACAACGCGCAGAGCGGGACCATGACCTACCACCGCTTCCATCTTGGGTGCGAGCTGTCCTACTTCAAGGTCGTCCACGACAAGTGGACGTACACGCAGGACAACGTGCGCTCGTTCCCAGCGCAGTTTGCGGCCGAGGAGGACGTGTTGTACCTCGATGGCACGCCGCACAACATTGGGCTCACCCCTTTCTTCTGGGGCCGAGAGGACGATGCACGATTCGCGCCCGCAGCGTGGCAGGACGCACTCGTGTACGCCCTTCCCGTGCGCGCATACGCACGCGCCATCGCAGAGGAAGTGCAGAAGCGCAGCAAGGTCGGCACTTTCGTGTGCGTGCACCTTCGCCGCGGGGACTTTGTTGACGCCGGGTGGCTGGGCAACGCGGAGGATCTGAGCTACGTGGAGAAGCGTGTGGGAGACCTGCTTGGAGAGGGGGAGGGCCTGTATCTGGCGACAGACGAGTTGGACGGCGACAAGCTCAGGGGCCTGCGCGAACTGGGCGCGCTGCAGTGGAACGATATGCTGGACACCCTGCAACAGGTGCAACTGAGCAACCCCGACGGCGACGACAACAACAATGACAACAACAGCAACAGCAACAGGAAGTACAACGAAGCTGCACGGGCGCTGCTTGGGTTTGAGGACTACATTGGGCTGATCGAGCAGCAGGTGTGCGGGCTGGCGCGGGCCTTTATCGGGTCAAAGTGCTCGTCGTTCACCGGCGGCATCCTCAACATCCGCCGTGCCAGGGGTGACAGCCACTATCTCCACTTCTAATGCATGTGTGTGTGTGTGTGTGCGTGGTGTGTGTGTGTGTGCGTGCGTGGTGTGTGTGTGTGTGCGTGGTGTGTGTGTGTGTGTGTGTGCGTGGTGTGTGTGTGTGTGCGTGGTGTGTGTGTGTGTGTGTGTGTGTGTGTGTGTGTGTGTGTGTAGGCGTGTGCACGGGTGTGTAGGCGTGTGCACGGGTGTGTTCCTGCATGCTGACGTGGGTGAACACGGATATGAGTAGGATGTTTACTAATACAGCCAACGAGTCACTTCACAACGTCGTCCTTTCCAGCAACTGCCAAGTGTGTGTGCGTGCGTGCGTGTGTGTGTGTGTGTGTGTGTGTGTGTGTGTGTGTGTGTGTGTGTGTGTGTGTGTGTGTGTGTGTGTGTGTGTGTGGGTTGAAGACGTGGGAGGAGGAGAACAAGCAGTGTGAGTGGAGTAAGTTGCTGTGCCTGAAGGTACAACGGCGAGAGGACCGAGAGAACCGTGGCCAAACAACAGCAGAGAAACGCTCACGCGTGTGCGCAGAGACACAGAGAAACATAACCAGGAACGCCATTGTCCACAAAGTGAGCATGAATGTGCGACAGAACCAAAACCATCGCACCTGCTGCACGTCTGGGATGGCGGTGTATCGGCGGCGCAGCGAACCAAGACACACGGTCGTCGGATACTTGGAGTGGGGATCAATGGCGACCACCTCCTGCTCGCGCACAA